AATTAGTTCAGTCAGACCATGGACTTCTATGGATCACAGACTTAAGTATCACAAACTAATTCTGTAAGGATTCAGGGAGCACAAAAGATTTGTGAGCAGTTCTGAATCTCTCAACTCAACCCTATTCATACAGTTCCTGGCACATGCAAGTTGAATCCTCCAAGTAACTAGCCTCAAATGCCACTCTACAAGGAATCCAGCAGTTTCTCATTAAAGTCAATATTTTTTACAATATGAAACTCAAGAGCTGGAGAGATGGCTCAGTGGTTAAGGGTACCAGGTATTGTTTCAGAGGACCCGGCTTCCATCATCCACATGGCTACTCACAATCCGGTAGCATGGATCTGACACCGGGTCCTGGGCACCAGGCATACACATGGTACACATACATACAGACAAAACATTCATGCTTATATAAAAATTTTTTTTTATTTGAAGCTACATGGTCAACCAGGCAGTGGCACATGCCTTTAGCCCCGGCACTTGGGAGGCAGAAGCAGGCAGATCTCTGTGAGTTTGAGAACATCCTGGTCTACAGAGCTAGTTCCAGCACAGCCTCCAAAGCCACAGAGAAACCCTGTCGGTGGGTGGGGGGATAGTAAAAATTTGAAACCTCTTCTTTGATTAGTATTGTTATTATTTACTAATTAAATTTATTCTATAACCTGAACACAGTTCCTCCTCCCTCCTACCCTCCTATTCCTTCCCCTCACATTCCCCTGTAACCTATTCTTAAATATTTACCCGAGTAAAATAAAAATGATGTTCACATAGAATCTTTTTTTTTTTTTTTTAAGATTTATTACTTACACAGTGTTCTATCCGCATGTATGCCTGCAGGCCCAGAAGAGAACACCAGATCTCATTATAGATGGTTGTGCATCACCATGTGGTTGCTGGGAATGAACTTTTATGAGTTAGAATTTTTGTCAAAGAAGGAAACAAATTGGTCTTACACTAAGTAGACCTGGCTGTTCTGGAACTTGCTATGTAGACCAACCTGGCCTGGAACTCATAGATCTACCTGCCTCTGTCACCCAACTGCTGGGAATCGAACTGTGTTTCTAACAGTAACAGAAACAGAGAAAGTTTATTAAGAAATAAAAAGTCACTGGGTGGTGGTGGCACATGCCTTTAGTCCCAGCACCCAGGAATCAGAGGCCAAGCAGGGCTGCACAAAGAAACCCTGTATCAAAAAAACAAAAACAACAAACCAGAAAGGCCATTCCCAAAAATGGGAGTGTATTTGGGGAGAGGAAAGAAGCCTACATAGAATGTAAGTGCGGTGAAATACTACTCAGAAATAAACTACTGGTACAAGTAGCACAGTGGCTCAAAAAGCCACACTTGCTCAGTGTGGTGGCACATGCCTTTAATCCCAGCACTGGAGAAACAGAGGCAGGGGGATTGCTGTGAGTTCCTGGCCAGCAAGGACTAAAACAAACTGAATTTTTGAATTATCGTTAATCCCACTAATCAAGAAAAGCCAACTTTGATTAATTAAATACTGGCCAGGTGGATGGGATCTGGCCAGGTCCATACCTACGTTCCGGGGAAATGGCCCAAAATCAAGTATGGCAGGGGTTTAAGAAGCAAAACCCATAATTCATTGCATGAATTCATTGTCCCATCATGTCCAATCAGGGGCAAACATACATCCTGGACCAGGCGTGGCTAGTTCATACCTTTAATCCCAGCACTCGGGAGGCAGTGGCAGGCTGATCTACAGAGCTAGTTCTAGGACAGCCTCCAAAACAATACAGAGAAACTCTGTCTTTAAAAAAAAACAAAAACCACATACATTCTGTTGTATTTCCTGCCTGTGAACCTCCTACCTGAATGTGATCAAGCACATCCAGTACAGATAGGTCAAACAAAGTTGTTTAGGGGAGTAAAAACATGGTTTGTTATCTCCCATTAAAAAAAAAAAAAAAAAACAGCCTCCAGCATTTCAGGAACTGTCTGTCCTTGGGCATGGGGCTTGCGGATCAGAGGTGGTTTTTGTTTCATGGATCTCTTAGATATAGTAATTAAAACTTAAAACGTAACTTTGGCTCTCACAAGATAAAACTTTGTCTAGTAGTAGTGACTATACAACTATCAAAGCAAATGCTTGTCAAAACTGACAGAATTGTATAATGGAAGAGTCAGTTCGAGCTTGGGGTCCCACAGTTGCCCTCCTAGCACTTGGAAGGCTGAGTGAGATGAGAGGACCGCTGAGGACAGCCGGGGCTGCATAGTGAGGTATAGATTAGCTTGACTACAAAGTTAGACCCTGTCTCAAAAGACAAACAAAGCCAGAAAGGTGGCTCAGTGATTTAGAGCACTGGCTGCTCTTCCATAGGACATAGGGTTGATTCAAAGCACACCTACACAGCAGCTCACAACTGTCTGCAATTCCAGTATTGGGGTCTGACACTGTTGTAACCTCAAATACTAGGCATGCATATGGTGCACAAATATACACGCAGGCAAAGCACCCATACACATAAAAATAAAACTATCAACCAAAAAGATATCCAAAACTATCCAAAAATAAAGTTAAATCAAGTCTAATTAATCATTTATTTAATTCCCTTAGTCACTATCCAAATTTGAACCTCCTAGATTATAATCCCCCAACAGTTTCCTCCACCCCTTCTGGGTGCTCCAAAGCCAACAGTCTTTAAACACTGTTAACAAAATCCTCCAGCCTTAATTTTCCCTGTCCATCTATCCTCCTGCTTTAAATACAGCTTGTTTCCTCTGAGGACTGCTTTTCCTGTGAATCTCTCTACAAACAGCCTGGTGTGATTACAGATTACACATCTGTAATCAGCACTGAGAAGCTTGGCTGAGTTAGGAGGTTCATACTTTTGCAGGCAACATAGAAGACAAAGAAAATATCCACTCTGGCTGGGCTACAAAAGTAAATAACCATGGTGGCACATGCCTTAATTCTCAGCACTGGGGAGACAGAGGCAGACATTCTCTGTGTTCAAGACCATCCTTGATCTCTCAAGTGTAAGACCAATTTGTTTCCTTCTTTGACAAAAATTCTAACTCATAAAAGCTCATTCCAACCTTGGCAGTGGTGCACCCCTTTAATCCAAGCTCAGGAGGCAAAGGCAGGTGGATCTCTATGAGTTCCAGACCAGCCTGGCCTCAGAGTACAGCCAAGGCTGTACGGAGAAACACTGTGTTGAAACAAACAAAAAGCTGGGTCTTCCTACCCCAACTAACATGCTAAGTGGCCCACCTCCCAGGTGATCTAGATTTTGTCATACTGACAACACTTAACCATCACAACTGAAAATTTATGTTGTTGAAAATATAATCATGCCTTCCTTGTATTCAGCCCCTTCATTCATACCAAGTAAAGGAACAGGTCATTGTGTTTGTATGTATGTGTGTGCGGGTATATGTGTGTTTATGTAGAGGCCAGAGGTCAACCTTGGGTGTCTTTCCTGTGTTCTACTTTTGAAACATGGTGTCAAACTACTTACTCCATATAGGGTATCAATGATAGACCAAAGAAATGATAGAGCAAATTCAAATTTAGTAAGCCAATGAATTTATAGAGAGCTATCTACAGCAATATGGATTCAGGTTTAGTTACAGGAGCATGGGTGACTTGAAGGCAGCTATGTCACCAAAAAGCCCACCCCAGACTGGGTTAACAACTCATGTTACTTAAAGTTCCCCCAGGACTAGAGTAATCTCCTGAAGGTATCTAAAAGGCCAGTAGCTAGGCAGGAGAGGAGAGGCAGGATTTCTGGCAGATGAATCTAGGGGTGTAAGAGATGACAATGGGATTTGGAACAGGTTGAACATACAGGACAGAGGAAAGGTAACATGTGATGGAATGTAGATTAATAGAAATAGGCTAAGTTATAAGAACTAATTAAAAAAAAAGCCTAAACTAAGGCCAAGTTTTCATAATCAATAAGTCTTTGTGTTATTTGTGGACTGGCAGTTCCAACAAGAAAGCTTACTTACTACTTAAATCCTTGGAGGAGACCTAACTGTTCTCCCTGCCCATTAAGGAATCTGAGATGACGTTTTCCTTGGCTCATTCCTAAAGGATGAGGTCCTAAAGATCATTCCAGTGCAGAAGCAGACTCTGGCTGGTCAGCAGACCAGGTTCAAGGCTTTTGTTACTATTAGAGACAATTGTCATGTTGGTCTTGGGCTTAAGTGCTCTAAGAAAGTATCCACTGCCATCCGAGGGTCCATCATGTTGGCCCCTTTACATTGCCCCTATGCAGAGAGGCAAAAAGATTGCAGGAAAAACCCTGGCAAGCCCCACACTGTTCCATGCAAAGTGACAAACTGCTGTAGCCCACTAGTATGTCTCATCCCTGACTCCAAAGCCACTGGCATCATCTCTGCTCCTGTGCCCAAGAAGCTTCTGATAATGGCCAGTGTTGATGACTGCTACACAACAGCCAGGGGCCACATTGCCACCTTGGGCAACTTTGCCAAGGCCACAGATGATGCTATATCCAAGATCTATAGCTACCTGACCCCCAACCTCTGGGAAAAGACTGTATTCACCAAGTATCCTTATCAGGAATTCACTGAGCATCTTGTGAAAACCCACATCCCAAGATCAAGCTGTGGCTACCACATAAGAGTTTTCATACAAGAAAAGAATAGTGAATTAAGTCTAAAAAAACCCAACAAACTATTATTTTTTTATACATGGAGTATACTTTCATAGGAAAAAGTTAAGTATAACACTGAAAAGTTAAACACACACACACACACACACACACACACACTATTATTTTGTCGAGTCCTAGAACTTCTTTGTAGACCAGGCTGGCCTTGCACTCAGAGATCTACCTACCTGTGCCTCCCAAGTGCTGGGGTTGAAGGTGTGTACCACCACTGCCCCTACCTACCTTTTTAATGTTTCTTATATTCATACATAAAAATATCTATGTAATCTTAGTAATTATAATTCTCATAACAAAAGCTAAAACATGCACATATTAAATTGAAAACAAATATAAAGCAAATAAAATTCAAATTACCTTTATTTACTGTAACAAATGCACTGATTTGCACAAATAGAAAAATGTTTTAAAGAAAGAAAAACGAAATTTGGTTTATAAGCAAACATCTGTAATTTCAGATCCTATTCTGTTCGTTCTTAGGTTGCTTGAATATATTTTCATTTTTGGTTTTTCAAGACAGGGTTTCTCTGTGTAGCCCTGGCTTTCCCAGAATTTGCTCTGTAGATGAGGTTGGCCTCAATCTCACAGAGATCCACCTGCCTCTGCCTCCTGAGTACTGGGATGAAGGGCATGTGCCCCCACTCCCAGCCTGAATATATTTTCTCTAACAATGTTAAAAATGCTTATTATATATGTATTTTGTTGTCTCTGGTTCTCAGGCCACAAAGTGGAAGTCATCTAAGAACAACTTTACAAGGTGAGGCCCTACATAGTGACAAAACTCAAACCGTCTTTACTAAAATCTGCAAAAATGACTACTCACTCCAATTATTTTTTCATCCAGAACAGCATTTTTTACTATTTATTTGCTATTAGACATATTGGTAACACATACTCCTCTAAGTTCCTCCACTTAAGTGCCACAATGTAATGATAGTGGCTCCTGGCACAAAACTTCTCTGGGTAACGCAGACACTGACTATCATGTCTGGAGCAGACAGGACATTATGTATACAATAGTAGCACACCATCTTCCCCATCTTCATACAATCTATGCTCTATCCCTTCATCAGTTTTACTTTTCATGTTGGATTTTAATTTTGAATACTTAACACTATTGTTGATGTGCATTTCACTTTCTTCATGTTTACTAAGAATATGTGACAAATGCTGCCAATCTTTGCACCCATTTTCATTTCTCAGTTGATTTTTTCCTTCCCCAAAGAGTCTACAATATAGGCAAAACACTGAGTCTTTGGAGGCTGAATAGAGTAGCCAGGACCTCGTGGTCTTCTCACCACTTGGAAGAATCCGTGTGTAGTATGCTTCTGAAAACTTCCTCCCCGTGCTGTCTTTTGGAAAATTAAAATTTCTTATTTGAGGTGGATCATTTTTGACAAGAATATCACGTTGTTTCATATTCAGTATTCGGGGCCATGAACCTGGATCTGAAGATAGCACACCTGACATCCCAGAATCTTCTGAATCCTTGTCTCCCAATTGCTCTTGAACTACATCAGGTTTATCAGGTACCACTGTCACAGGGGGTGAGTTTATAAGCTTCTCCTCCAGGCATGGATCTAGGTTACATTGTGTTGCAGCTTTCATTATCTCTGAAATCTTTTCCTTTTTTTCTGGTATTTCTCCTATTTTTTCTGAAAGTGTACTTGATTCATGAAATTTTCTTTCCTTTTCTTCTCTGACAGCATTCCTTTTTCTGTTTTGTAAAAGTGCTGTTTTTGATTTTGTTTCCATTATCTGTGAATAGAAATTACAATTTTATTGGCATTTTAAAAATTGAAATACAGAAATAAGACCAGGCAATGGCTTATTGTTAGCTTTCAAAGAAATAAAACATACCAAGCACGCACTCAGTGTACATGAAGCCACTCATACTCTTAAAATATAAGAAACAAAACTAGGCATAGCGTACCTAGCAGGATGGCTGCAACTGACAGTGACAATTGGAAACATCATAGTGACACAGCAAAAAATTAGAATTTTGCTAAAGCTCTGATGGAAATTTAACAATGTAAGTTGAATTGGGAAAGCAGTTTGGCAATTTGTCTGACATTCTTAACACATCATCCATACATACAAGGTATATATCATATATAAATGTTATGTTCACATAACCATTCAATGAAATAAATTCAAATGGCAATTAAAAAAAAACCAAACAAACAAAACTAAGTATAAAGCCAGGTGGTAGTGACAGCACATGCCTTTAATCCCAGCATTTGGGAGGCAGAGGCAGATGGATCTCTGTGAATCCAGCCTGGTCTAGAGTGAGTTCCAGGACAGCCAAGGATACAAAAAGAAACCCTGTCTAGAAAACAAAGCAAACAAACAAAAAATCAAGTGTAACCTGGCAATGACACTAAACACCTTATATCCTAGCACTTAGAGGAGGAAGAGGCAGGCAGATGCTAGCTTGGTTTAGTTCACCCAGAGTTCCAGGCCAGCCAGATACATAATAAGACCTTAACTAAAAAAGAAAGAACAGATGGGAAGAAAGGATGGGGACGGGCAGGCAGGCAAGGAGGCAAGAAGGCAGGCTGGCTGGTGTGCTGGTTAGTTTTATAACAACTTAGCACAAGCTAAAGTCATCTAAGGGGAGGGAACCACAATTAAGAAAATGTCTCTAAAGCCAGGCAAATGGTACCTCGTGCCTCTAGTCCAACACTCAGGAAGCAGGAACGGCAGATCTCGAGTTCCAGACCAGCCGGGACTACATAGCAAGTTCCAGGACAGCCAGGGCTGTTACACAGAGAAACCCTGCCTCAAAATAAACTGTAAAATTATATATATCCCTACCCTTCAAAGCAAGATGTCACTATATGGCCTGGCTGTCTTGAATCTACATAGATCTGCCTACCTCTGTTGTGATTAAAGGTATTATCTCACCCAGTTTTTTCCTCTTTTTTTTTTTAAAGGCTTATTTACTTTACACAGATGGTATTTTGCCTCCATGGATGAGTATGTGCATGCCTGGTGCCCAGAGAGGCCAGATGAGATCCCCTGGAACTTGAGTTATAGATGGTTTTTTAAGCCACCATGTGGATACTATGAATCAAATGAGTCCCCTGAAAGAACAACAAGTACTCTAAAGTTCTGAGTTACCTCCCCAGCACACCCATCCCCCCAAAAGCAATTTAATGGCAAAATTGCCACAACCCTATTTACACATGTACATAAATACATGTATGTAACAAGGATCTCTGATTTCAGTTCAATATTCTTCATTTACTTTTCTTTCTGTTTTTTCAAGACAGTGTTTCAGTGTAACAGTCTTGGCTGATTTGTAGACTGGGCTGGCCTTGAACTCAGGTATCTGCCTGTCTCTGCCTCCTGATGTCAGATGCCTTGGTGTTGGAGTTACAAGTGGTAGTAATCCACCTGATGTGGGTGCTGGGAATTGAACTTGTGTCCTCTGGGAAAACAGCAAATGCTCTTAATCACTAAGCCACCTTTCTGGCTCCTTATTAAAAAAAAAAAAAAAAGACAGCTTATATTTTATGAATTCTACTCATTATTCAGTGATAAGCAATTAATGACAGTATGGGGTGCCATCAGGGACTTAACCTAGGACTGTCTGTATACCAGGGAAGCCTTCTGCTTAAAATGTCCACGTACTGCTAAAGTTTCTCTACTGCTCTTCTCTGAAGACCTGCTACTAATCACTTTGTATATTCAGATTTGTATATGCAGCTGAGGCCTATTTTGATTACACATACTTCCCCATCTTGCTTTCTTTTCTTCAAACCTTATGTTCTTTATTATTTTTACTAATGTGTTTATGTACAGGTGTATTCACATATGCACACATGTATGTGGATGCACGCACTCTTGAGTGCATACAGTCACAGAACATTAAGTGTCCTATTCTAAACACATGCAACCCTAGATAAATTCAGTGAGTTATAACACAAAGACATTGTGGTGGTTTGTATGAGAGAGATATCCATGGTAAATCTCAGGCATTTAAATAGTTGTCCCTGGTTGGTGGCTGTTTGGGGTCGAATTTGGAGGTGTGGCCTTGCTAGAGGAAGTATATCCCTGCAAAAAGGCTTTGAGGTTACAGTACTCCCACCATTTCCAGTGCTCTCTCAACTTCCTGTTTGTGAATCAGATGTGAGCACTCACCTACCGCACCAGCTATCTCCACTTCACTCACCATCATGAACTATTATTATCTCTCTGGAATCATAAGCCCCAAATACATAAGCCCTTTCTTCTCTAGTTGCCTTAGTCATGGTGTTTTATAACAATAACAAAAAGTAATTAATACAAACATGAATGTAGGAAAGGGATTTGAGGCAGGGAAGTTGACAAAGTGGAAATAAGGGAATTAGAGTAATGAAATATATTACATATATGCACTATATTCATTTATAAATTTTTTGTTTGTTTATTTCATTTTGTTTTTCAAACAGGGTTTCTCTGTGTGGCTTTGACTGTCTTGGAACTCATTCTGAACTCACAGAGATCCACCTGCCTCTGCTGCCCGAGTGTTGACATTAAAGGTATTCACCACCACCCAGATATTTATGTAATTGTTAAAGAAAATAAATTTAATAATATTATTTTGCCAGATCTCTGCGACAAGGTCTGATCTAACTTGCTAAGTGGAACAGAGTGGCTTCCCCCTCACAGAGATCCACCTGCCCCTGACTCCCTAGTGCTGGCGTGTGCCATCATAACAGGTATTAAACCGACATGGGCTCCGAATCTGAGTATTCTGCAGCACAATGGGAGATGGCAACAAGAGAACCACCAGAAGCTTTAAGGCCAGATAGCCTGGTGCACAGGATTAAATAATGAGATGTTATCTCAAACTAGAAGGCAAGGACAGATACCCCAGGTTGTCTTCCTGTCTTCCAACTTTCACCTATAGTCACTTGCACTCACAGAAACATGCATGTGCATGTGTGTGCACACATTAGCAAAGGGGAAGAGGAGAGAGAATTGGGGGTTGGAGAAATTAAGCAATTAAGAACACTGGCCTGCTCTTCCAGGGGATCTGATTTACATTCCTAAACTCACATGGTGGCTCACATCTGTCTGTAACTATAGTTCCAGAGGAACTAGCCTCTGAGGGCATAAAGGATGCATGTGATACACAGACTAACATGCAGGCAAAGCAGCCATGTAGGTAAAATAACATTGTAGGAACAAATGAAACAATGAATTACCTCTTTATATTCAGTGGCACAATTCTGACTGCAGAAGCTCTTTTGCTGACCTGTAATCAGGACCCTGTGTCCAGTATTTTTGGGCATATACTTGCCACATTGTTCACAGCAGTTCATTATTAGACCATTAGTAAATCTGTACTCATTAAAGCAATTGTTACTACACAGTTTATGTGTTACATTGTTAACACTGATTTCATGTCGAACCTAAAAGAAAACAAAATTTCTTAAGACAGTATTATACAATTTACTGCCCTACAGTATGTGGATCCTTCCTTACAATACTTGGGAGAAGGATGAAAGGAATCATTATCCATACTTAGAATGGTGTCTATACATCTAGCAGTAAGGTGGGTCTACAGCTATGACTGAAGTAAATGTATGTCTTATTTGAATGGCCCCCAGAGTTACCCAACATCAGACTGAGTTACCAAGGGCAATGTAAAGAAATTACTGCCTGAATAATATCTCTCTTCTCTTGAACATGCACTAAACTATTTGTCCCACACATTCTTATAGGATGTTGCTTCTTTCACTGTCCTGAAATTACTGATTATAACTAATTCCACATAAACAGACATGTACTTTCTACACTATGAAAATGAGTATTTTCTGAGGGGTGGGAGAGACAAGGTCTCACTTTTATATAGCCTTGGCTGTCCTGGAACTCAATGTATATACACCTGGTTAGCCTTAAGTTAACAGAGATCTGCCTGCCCCTACTTCTCTGGGATTAAACATGTGCACCACCACTCATTGGTAAATTATTTCAATAAACAGAATTCTAACATCTTATTAGTTCTTCCAACCTGAGAATTTAGAATATGGACATTATATAGTTGGCATAGTTTACACTGATATTTAAAACTCAGCATTATTCTTAGGAGCCTAAATATAGTAGTATAAAAAGCCAGACCTCTCCTAATTTATTACACATTATACATCTTGACTTAGTAAAAACTTCTTTTCTGAGACTCTGGGAGTATTCACAGGGAGACAGAGATGCACTATAAAGTTCTGGTAAGGACTTGCTTGACCCCACTGGAGGAATCATGGTTGCTGTCTTCACAGGAGAATCTCTGGAATATAAGAGAGAAAGGAATGTCTTAAGATTACTGTACTTTAAAATCCACTCTCAACCTTACTTCCACTATTTCCTAAATAATACAGGAGAAAATTTTTTGTAACATCAGAAATGCACTAAGGTTCATAGAATTCAAGAAGGATTAAAAAATGCTGGTAGCTGGGGCTAGACACAGCTTAGTGTTAGGGCATAAGCTGCACTGGGTGGTGGGGGCACACACCTTTGATCCCAGCACTCAGGAGGTAGATGCAGGTGGATCTGAGTTTAAGGCCAGCTTCATCTACAGAGTGAGTTCTAGGACAGCCAGGGATCCAAAAAACGTGTCTCGAAACCTGCACCCCCCCCCCCCAAAAAAAAAAAAAAAAAAAAAAAAAAAAGAACTGGTTGCTCTTGCAGACGACCCAGATTTGGTTCCTAACACCCACATGGTGGCTTACAACTCTCCTTAACTCCAGTTCCAGTGAACCCAGCATCTTCTTCAGGCCTCTGAGGGTACCAAGCATGTACAGAGTATACTTTCATAGACATAGGCAAAACAAAATATGCTGGAAGAAACAACTCCAATGGTGCTAACCACATGGCTCATTGGTGCATGTACTGTTCTTATAGAAAACCTGAGCTTGGTGCCTAGCCTACAAGAGGCAGCTCAATACCGCCTTGCAACCCCAGCTACAGGGTGACATAACACCTCTGACTTTGGTGCACCTGTACTCACATGTACCTACACACAAACACACATAACTTGAATATTTTTTGCCTTTACTTTTATTTTACGTATATGGTTATTTTGTCTGCATGTATGTCTGTTTTTACCATATGGGTGCAATGCCCACAGGGGCCAGAAGACGGTGTTGGATCCCCCGGGACTGGATGCTGGAATAATCAAGAGCAGCCAGTACTCTACAGCATTGAGCCATACCTCAAGCCCCATAAAAATAAATCTTAAAAAAATGTTGGTAGTGGGCCTGAAGAGATGGCACAAAAAGAAAAGGCATTTACTGTCAAGCTTTATGACCTAGGTTCCATCCCTGGAACCCACATTGTAGAAGGAAAGGACCAATTCCAATGGCCTATTCATGAGCATACCACACACCCAGACACACAGATGCACACACACAAAATGTAGACCAAAATAAAACCCGCATGTAAAAAGGGAAAGACAAATGTAGCACCCAAGAGAAGGGTACTATACTTCTGTACCTCCATACATTCTTCTGTTAAACTATAGTATATAGGGGAACTGGAAAATAAAACAAACAAGCAACAAACAAAATCTTGCAGTATAGATGAGCCCATAGTTCTAGAATAACACAATCTTAAAAGTTGAAAACATCTCTGTAGCATCTACGACAAGTCTAGATTACATTTATATCACGGTATTTATTAATACTGGTAGCACTAAACCACATGGAGAAATGTTGAGGTCTGCTTACTTTTTACATGTTACATTCCGTGTCTTTCGAGTACGCTTATGAGAAAAAGAAGAAAGGCAGGTGGTTGTACAGAAGAGATGAGCCGATCCTTTTCGTTGATAAGCCGTCTGTCCCTTTTGTAGAGGATTTTTGCAGTTTGCACAAGTGATTTTAGCAGGTTTATTAAGATGTTGGTTTGAGGGCTGGAAATTCTGTTTAGGAAGTGAGGCCACTGGTGATAAAGAATCCATCTCTTGCTGTTTCTGATTACGAGGAAATGATGCTGATTGGGAGATCCAAGAATCTTAAAAAATGAAACACATTAAGAAAAAGTTATGGAATAAATAAAAGTACACATTAGGACACATTTGAATTTAAAACTTTAAGAGATTCATAAGCACATGGTTAAGGCAAAAATAACTTTGACAATCCAGGATTCCTCTCCTGTGTGACTGGCTATGAAATATTTCCCATGAGTTCATTTGTTTCAACAGCTATCTCCAGCTGGTGGATACAGGGCCTACCTGGTAGAGACAGGGGTTAGGGGAACTAGCTTGGTTCAAGCTCAAGCTCTCTGTGGTGCCAAGCAAGTATTATCCTGTGTAGTGGTGTAACCTATAATCATAGTGTGATGGAAATAAACAGTAGGATGACCCCAAGTTTGAGGCTACCCTGGGCAAGACTACCTCTAAAGGAAAGTGTTACTGGCAGCTGCCACTGGTTCCTCCAGCTTTGGGAATGCCTGTCATCTTTCCCTGCTGCAGTGGACTGTAGTCCCTCAAACTATGAGCCAAAATATGTCCCTCCTACCTCAAGCTGCTTCAAGGTATTTAATAACAACTACTTTTAAAAAGGAACTAATACAACTACTTCATTTGCATTCTAAGGAATTTCTTTTTAATCAGGAAATAAAAACATGTGGCAAACCATCAACTACTGTCAAACTCCTAAGACAAAATCTGTCTCCTGAATTTACTAGATTATGCAAGTACAATAAGCTCTATGGGTTTGTTGTTATTTCTCTGTAGTGCTAGGGATATACCTGCTAGGTAAAATTCCCATCCCTCTGGATTGCTTTTTTTTCCTGTTATATACTGAAATTATACCTAATTCCCCAGTGACATAAGGAATAAGTGAAATACATATTCAACTGTAAATAGACGTTATACTCTGGGGTTAAACTTTCTTTGCTAACTTTAATTCAGATACAAACCAGATTTAGGCAGCAGCAGAACTAAAACAGTAATCTTTACAAGATTTGTCATTATTAATACTATGGGAGAAATAAAATCACAACTCTCAAAACAGTTGTGGACTCACTGATACTTAAGGGAAGCATATCTATACATAATTAGGAAACTAAGATATCCTTATATTGCCTAAGATAGTAATTTATCTGAAAAAAAAAATCACTTTAGGTTTGGCATATACTTAATGCATGTATGCCCATTTTTAGAATGTAAATATTTAAATTCCTAAATAGAACATTTAGCTGGGTATGGTTTTGCATGCCTGCGATCCCAAGTGCTGCGGAGACAAGATGACTGGCTGAGTTCTAGACACCCTGTCTTTAAATATGTCAGCTAATGGCTAGGCAGTGGTGGTGCATTCCTTTAACCAGAACACTCAGGAGGCAGAGACAGGCAGATCTCTGTGAATTTGAGGCCAGCCTAGTCTACAGAGTGAGTGCCAGGATGCCAGGAATACACAGAGAAAAAAACATCATGCATCTATAATTTCAGTGTTGGGTAAACAGAAAAAAAAAAAAAAAAAAAAAAAAAAAGGATACCTGGGACTTGCCAGATAACCAATCTAGCTGAACTGGTGAGCATCAGGGTCAGTTTAAAAAAAAAAAAAAAAAAAAAGAAATAAGGTAGATGAAATACCATCTTACACTGATCAGAATGGCTATAATAGAAACATCAGTGACAGCTTATGCTGGAAAGGATGGGAGAAAGGAGAATACTCCTCCACTGCTGGTGGGAGTGCAAACTTGTTCAGCCACTGTGGAAATCAATATGGCAATTTCTCAGAAAATCAGAAGCCATCCTAGCTCATGACCCTGCAATACCACTTTTGGGCATATACCCAAAGGCATATATACCTCACACCACAAGGACATTTGCTCAACTATGTTCATAGCAACATTATTCATAATAGCCAGAACTTGGAAAAACCTAGATGCCCCTCAACCAAAGAATGGATAAAGAAAATGTGGTACATTTACACAGTGGAGTACTACTCAATAGTAAAAGAAACAATAACATTATAAAATTTGCTGGCAAATGGACAGAACTAGCAAAAACCATCCTGATTGAGGTAATCCAGACCCAGAATGAGCATGTGGATTCATAAGTGGATACCAGACATAAAGCAAAACATACCCAGCCTACAATCCACAATCCCTGAGAAGCTAGAACCCTCTTCCATCCAGAAACAGATGGAAGAAGATGCAGAAATCCACAACAAACAATTGGGCCAAGCTCCTGGAGCACAATCCAAGTGAGGGAGGAGAGATAATATGAACAACAGAGTCAAGACAAATGATGGGGAAACCCACAGAATCAGCTGACTCCAGCTAGTGAGAGATCACTGATTCAGGTCTACAACTGGGGAACCTGCATAGACTGAACTAGACTCCCTGAATATAGGTGAAAATGGTGTGATTGGGACAATATATGAGAGCAATATATGAGGACACTGGCAGTGGGTCCAACATTAACTCTAATGCACAAACTGACTACATGGAGCCCATTCTATATGGATACCTTTCTCAGCCTAGACACAGGGGTGTGGGGAGTAGGGAGGAAGGGAGGAGCCTTGGTCCTGCCTCAACGAGATGATGGGACAGACTTAGACTTCCAAGGAGGGGTCTGGGATCCTAGGGGATCCAGAGAAGAGGGGTCTGGGAAACTGGGATTGGAATGTAAAGAAAAAATTAACACAGATAGATAGAAGATAGATAGATAGATAGATAGATAAAATAAGGTAGAGATCAACAGAAGAAGACAGCTCTGGCCTCCAGGAACGTATGTACAGATTCACACAGAAATTTCATACAACTTACTGCATACCAGGATTGTGGTGTACTGCAAATCTTCCATTCTGGAGTGCATCTGCTACATCCACCCTACCAGGATTAAAAGGTCCTACTCCAGTCTTGGTCTGTGAAGTTAAACATGGGGTGTATGTTTGTACATTAACACCAAACCCTTGAGCAACATCTCCCAAGCTGGTACTCTACAGTGATATATGATCATTAAGTTCCTATCTCACCCAGCATTCAGGACTTACACCTGCTTCTACAGTTGTAACATTAGTATTAATAGAGTCAATCTGTAGCGATACCATTAGTACCCATTCCCGAATTTACCTTACTTCTTGATACACTGGAAATGAAGAAATCCAAATTTTTGGTACTATCTTTGTTTCCCAGAAGTCCCCAATCAGTAAAATTGGTAGGAGTTTTCTCCTCCCCTCCATTTGTTTCTGTGTCCCCTTCATCATCAATAACAATTGTTTCATATGTATTTCCCTTCTGAGAAGTCAAATCTCTTAAAGAAGGAGGAATTATGAAATAATTTCCTTGTGGATTTTCATGTTTTGAAGATGAAAATACAAAGTTTCTTTCCTCATCTCTTGCTGGAGCACAAACTGGAGGCTGTATTGATTCAACAAACACAACATCATCATCTTCCACAGGTGAGTTCCTAGATGCACTGACTAAAGAACTAGTGGGACCAGCAAATGAATCCACATCTGTGAGATGAGCTGCCATGGCCCAATTTCCTAGGAAAGCATGAGCCTGTACAGTCAACTAATCGTCCCACTGAAGATTTATCCAAGCCAAAGAATCTGTAACAGACAGAAAACAAAGAGGGTATTTCCATTTACAGAAGCAATTTCAGAAAACCATTTATGTGATACTCATTCTGATTTCCTGTTAACCACTTTGTTAAATTCCACTTCGTTATGGAGTTTGATGGAAACTATGTAGTTTGGTAGTAACTATGCTCACTTTATACTACTCTCCACTCACAACAAAAAATAGCATATACTTTCTTTAAATTTAAAATAACAAATTTGGGCTGGAGAGATTGCTTGGCAGTTAGGAAGGTCTATTGTTCTCTTATATAAGACCTGAATTCAGTTTCCAGCACCCATACCAAGAGACTCACAACTGCACATAACTTCAGCTCCAGGGTATTAAATACCCTCTTCTTGACTCCACAGGGATCTGTATCCACAACTGTATATGTCCACATAGATACGTGTTAAAACAAACCAACAAACATAAACAAACAAACAAAAACTGTATCTATCGTGTACCATTGTACAAGCCTTTTTTAAAAAAAAATTGTTTTTCTAATTTATTAATTTGTGTGTGTGTGTCCTCTGCATGTATAGCTGCAGGCCAGAAGACAGCATCAGAACCTATGAACCTATTGTAGATGGTTGTGAGCCACATGTGGTTGCTGGGTATTGAACACAGAACCTCTGGAAGAGCAGCCAGTGCTCAGCACTAGTGAGGCAGAAGCAGAGGCAAGGGGACCTCAAAGTTTGAGGCCAGCCTGGTCTACACAGAAAGTTCCAGGACAAACAGAACTACAGAGACCCTGTCTCAAAAAAACTGAAACCAAAATTAAAAAGAAAAAAATCCACTAAATACCAACAACTCGAAGTCCTTACATAATTATCATACCGTCTTTACATATTAAATTACCATACCAGACGCTCATATTGACTAGTGTAATACTGTAACTCCTATTTCTCTCATGCTGTCAATTTTTTTCTCCCAAATACTCTCCAAATACCAAAATGCAATTTTATCTTTAAATTTTTCTTGTTTGCCCTGCTCACCACCTCAGAAAACTTACTTAAGTCCTTACTTACATCCTTAAGTCAGACAAAAGCCTTTTCTTCTCTTCTTTATTTTTGAAACAGGGTTTCTCTGTGTAGCACTGATGGTCCTGGAACTTACTCTGTAGACCAGGCAGTCTTTTAACTCACAGAGATCCTCCTGCCTCTGCCTCCCAAGTGCTGAGATTAAAGGCCTGTGCCACCATAGCTTAGCTAAGAGACATTTTTTTTTCCAGACAGGGCTTCTCTGTGGCTTTGGAGCCTGTCCTGGAACTAGCTCTTGTAGACCAGGCTGGTCTTGAACTCAACAGAGATCCACCTGCTCTGTCTCCCAAGTTCTGGGACTAAAGGCGTGTACCACCACTGCCCAGCTGAAACATTTGTTTTTAATTTAGGTCCCCAACTAACTGGTGATTCTAGCATGTATCAAGCTGACATAAAATCATTCAATATACTGTTCAAAAGAGAAATGTTACGATCTGACCACTTATGGTACACTGAGCAAGTTACTACATCTCATTGAATTACATTTTCTGGATATAAAGATTATAGCTTAGTATGTTCCAAGATTGAGGCTAGTTAAGTTCTGTACAACTGAGCTACACCTCCAGCCCTAGATATTTTAAATCTTGATGGCTTACTGTTCTCTAATTTTATTTTTACAACAGAAAAATTTACCTGCAAATAGTAGTATCTTTCAATTAATAGTATACCTAGATATAGATGATAAATAGTAATATGTGTTTTAAAAGGCTAAAAAGGAATATTCTGACTTATTTCAACATAATAAAAACTGACACTAAAAAACTAGTCAGAGATGGGTGTGGATCAGGAGGCAGAGGCAAATGGATCTCTGTGAGTTCAAGGCCAGCCTGTCCACACCTCAAGCTTCAGAAGAGCCAGGACTGCAGATACTGTCTCAAAACAAACAAAAAAATGAGTGGCAGGATTAGGAAGGTTAAGAAACTACTGGCTTAGCAACTTCCAGGATAAAGAGATCTTGTCTCAAAAAAAAAAAAAAAGAAAAGAAAAAGACCATAAAATGAAAACGTCCTCTAAGTCTCTAAATGCATAATGGATATGCAAATATTTAAAATTACATCTCAAGTTGTCATGTTCAAAAGAAACTCTGGACAACTGCCTAACAAGTGATGCCTCTTAGCATACCAAAAATGTCTGCTGACCTCCATGCACAGGGCTCCTCTCCACTCTTCTCACCCTGCCCCTACCCTACTTTACCTCACTTCCCCTTACCCAGGTTCCCATTCCTATGGAACCTTGCCATTCTAGCTATGTGCCCTCTTGCCCTCTCCAACCCCATGGCTTGGTCCATTCGTAAGGCCATGTTTAGTCTACTACTCTCTCTCCTTGCTTTGGACTACTCCAGATGCCTCTGACTTCACTATCCTCATATCTACAATAAAAACCTTCTCTTTAACCGCACCTTGAAGTAGTCATGTTCTCATTTCATTCAATAGTTTTCATTGAGCTGTTTAGACTTTGAGTCAGTTTACTTTGCTATGTAGTGATTTGTATGACTTCTTTTAATTAACAAAATTGGTAAACATCCTCCATCAAACTGGTTTGTAGGCAAGCCTGCTGGGCATTTCCTTGGTTGCTGAATAATGTAGGAAGGCCCAGTCCAATGTGAGTGGTGATAGCCTAGGGGCAGGTGGTGTTGGGTTATAGAAGACAGTCAGATGGCATGGGAAGTAATCAAACAAGTAGCTTCAGTTTCTGCTTTTAGGTTCCTGCCCCAACTTCCCTTCATGATAGTCTGTAAAATGTAAGAGTGTGAAGAAAACTCCAGTTGACAGAGGCCTGACTTGTGACTTATTTGAATCTGTGACTTAGCTGGAGCTGAAAAGTCAGCTGTGACTAACAAGAGACCAGCATCACTAAGAAAGCATCTGGAAAGTGTGTGGTGCATGCCTCTGATTCCAAATTTGGGAGGCAGTGGCAGGCGGATCTCTGAGTTTATTGAGCATAGCCTGGGCTACAGAGTTCCAGGACAGTCAGGACTACAAAGAGAAACCCTGTCTTGAAAAAAAGCAAACAATAACAAAAGAAATCTGGAATGTATTTCCTCAGGGTCAGCACACAGAAGTTGTGATCCAGAGGGGTCAAGGCTCCATCTCATGCTGACAGCTGAACTTAATATGTAAAAGTACTTGAGATCACAGAGAGAAACTGAGGCTTGGCATCACGAACCTAAGAATGGACATGGATGAAGAGGTAGCCTTAGTTGCAATAAAGACCCCAGCATACTGGAGAGTTCAAGACTGTGGATCAAAGACAGACACAGCTGTGAAGTGGAGCAGGCTTGAGTCAGGAGACAGCCCTGTGTGTGCAAATGGCAGAGCTGCAGAAGTAAGGCTGTCCAAAGTTCTCTGGAGCCCAAAAGATCATGAGTCAAGTTCCAGGTGCCAGACTGAACTATTTATTTATACTGTCCAATTCTGATTTTGCTCTGATCAGATTGTAACTGTGCCTGGTTCTTCTCTCTTGGAATAATAAACATGTAACTATGTTTTATTTATGAGTACCCACTTGAGAAATTCTGTGGACTTTACTTATTTTAGGTATCTTAAAACTTATTATTAACCTACATGGGTGTTTTGCTGCATGAACATCTATGCACTACCTGTAGGCCTGGTGCCCAATATCCTGAACCTGGAGTTACAAACAGTTCTGAGTCACCACATGAATGCTGGGAGTTGAACCCCACTTATAACCCCTCCCACCATTGCAAACTGAGGTCCAAACCCAGGGCCTTATGCTTGCTAGGTAAGCGCTCTACCACTGAGCTAAATCCCCAATTCATTACTCTTTTTAAAAAAATAATTTATTTTTATCTCATGTGAATTGATGTTTTGCCTGCAGGTATGTCTCTGTATGGAAGTGTCAGATCCCCTAGAACTAGAGTGACAGACAGTTGTTCACTGTCATGTGGGTGCTGAGAATTGAACCTAAGTTCTCTGAAAGAGCAACCACGGCTCTTAACCACTGAGCCATCTCTACAGCCACCAATCTGACTTCTCTTAACCACTGCAGTATCTCTTTAGCTACCAAATTTTAGATTTTTAAAGAGGTTTTGAACTTAAAAAAAATTTGTTTTAGATTTATTCAATGTGTGAGTATTCTGCCTACATGTATGTACATCACAGGCACATCTAGTGTGCCTCAGATGTCACAAGAGGGCATCAGATCCACTGAAGGGAGTCAATGGTGGTTGTAAGGCACCATGTGGATACTAATATTCAAGTGCAAGTGTTCTTAATGGCAGACCCATTTCTCTAGCCCCATGGCTTTGAACTTCTAAAGTGGGGGCAACATGTGGATCACAACACCTCTGGCAAACCTCTATCAAAACCATTGTATTTTTTTCTTTTTGAGACAGGGTTTCTCTGTGTATCCCTGACCTCAAATTAAGATATTCACCTGTCTCTGACTCCTAACTGCTAGGATTAAAGGCGTGTATCACCACAACCCACTGTTTTAAAGTGTTTGTTCTTTTAAATGTTCATTTAATCGTATTTAGTTGTATGATTTTTTAAATATTTATTTGTGAGTGTCTGGTGCCCAGGGGACTGTGTCGGTCAGAAAAATCAAATCCCCTGGAATTGGGAGTTACAAACTATTATGAGCTGCCATTTGAATGCTGGGACTCAAACCCAGGCCTTCTGCAAGAATAATAAATATTTTTAACTGCTGAGCCATCTCCCCAACCTCCTTCAACTCCCCTACCACATCCCAACAGGGATTTTTGTTTTGGTTTTTTGTTTTTCGAGACAGGGTTTCTCTGTATTGCTTTGGAGCCTGTCCTGAAATTCGATGTGCAGACCAAGCTGGTCTCAAACTCAGAGATCCGCCTACCTCTGCCTCCCAAGCACTGGGAGTAAAGGTGTGCACCACCAACACCCAGCTCCCAACAGGGTTTCTATGTATAACCCAGTCTGTCCTGGAATTTGCTCTGTAGACTAGGCTGGCCTTGA